GTCGGACACAGTTGTAAGTTTGCAAGTCTGAAGCCGTGTGATCACTGCAGGTAGAGAAGTCTGTTAAACTAATAGACTTGAATTTCATTTCTGGGAGGGAGGTTGTACAGTTTGGGTTGCTTTGCCTTGCTGCTCTGATTCCTATGTAGAGCCAGACATAAGTATAGCTCACCTCAGCCTCTTTCTTATTTCTTGGATTAAAAATCTTAGTGAAGTTGCAGATTTTTGACTTGAGATCATCGGGTCTTCAGATCTGAATGATTTGTTTCCAAGAGGCTTTATCTGTCTTTAACGGTGCTTTGTAAACGGAGTGGTCGGATCCAGCTGAGATCAAAAGGTTCCAGTCAGATTAAGGGAGGGGGGTAAATAGCTCTGCCGAGACCCCTCTCAGAACTGACACAGAGCAGTGGCATTAGCAAAGCAGACATCGGACTTCTCCTCTCCAACCATAACTACTGTCCCTTTCACACTCCAACAGGAGCCTTGTACCGTGTTACGATCCCGCTTGTACGTGTTAGTATCCCGCTGTCATTTATGCTGGATAATTGCAAACTGCATGGAGAATGTACATCTGAAGCACAGCAAATAGAAATGGGAAATATCCGTTAAGGTATTGGTCCAATAACGCGTTTGTTAGGGGGTCGTCAGAAGAGGGTAGGAAAAAAAATTGGTGCTTCTTGGCTTGACACTTCCTAAAACCTTCTTTCATTTCCATCTTCCTCCTCATCCTCCCCAAAACAACCCTCACATCAAAGTGCTTGGACTGCAAAAATTTGCAATCTTGAAATACAATTCCACAATTGTTGCATCTCCATCCCCAAAAGTCTCACCGGAGTCACCTAAGCTGTTTCCTAAGGATCTGCAGTCCCCCTTAAAGCAAATGAACGGTGCAGATGTTCAGCAAATTTAGGGATTTGGGACAACCTGCACTTTCCCGTTCCACAATGCAGTGTCAACAGCACAGCCAATATTTATAATTCATTCTCAGCTATCAAAGGACAGGCACAATATTTGCCCAACTTTTTTGGATGACTGGCAATCTTTGGATGCTCTGTATTAAATTAGCTTTAAATAGCTTATTTTGCTGGGGATGTGGTGATTGAAATCCGTGTACCTGCTGGCACAGCGTCCAGGGGACTCACATGATCGGTCCTGCATTCCCAGGTTATCCACGGAGGCTGCAGCCGGGAGACAGCGCGTGTGTGTCTGGGAGAGGGTGGGGTGGAATATTCATGCCATTGGAAACACTCACGTTGTTACTTAACAACTCCATTAACCTCGTGTCACAAGTCATGACCTTGTGCTGACCCTGGCGGGCAAAGCAGCGCAGCTCTGAAGTACAAAACATGAAAGTGCGAGAAAGAAGGAGCAGAGGAGGAGCAAAGCTCAGCTCTCCGTGGAAGGGACTTGCCAAGCCGCTCAAAGCGCCGAACAAAGGCTGTGCACGGGCCGTCCCGCCCAGGCGCTCACTGCCAGGGATTGCCAGCGGAGTCTTCCGCAGAGCTCCGGACTGACACGGCCTGTCAGCCGGGAGAGTCCCTGTCACAGACAGAGCAGAGGGGAGAGCCCCAGAGCACACGGACCGGAGCCTTTAGATCTCCCGCTCCTGTCCCTCTGCTCTGCAGCACAGCCCTGGAGGCACAAGTGCTGCGTTCAGAGCTGCGCCTGGAACATCATTTCACCTCGATTTCAAAAACTGGGGGAAGGAGAAAACTTCACTAACCAAAGATGCTTTTCCCGTAGCTTTTTGTCCCAGGAGTCTTTTTGGTATCAGTGGTGGGACGGTCACAAGCCCAACCAATGTCAGCCCCAGGAAATGGGCAAAGTGACCCCAGTTTTAAGTGAGAAGGAAGAAGGTGGGATCTGATTGGCTAGGGTAGAAGGGCAACAGGAATTTGTTTGGCAGAGTAAGAACTGTTGCAAAAGTTCTGTGGGACCTGTAAAAAGGTACTTTGAAGGCAGGCTGGGAGTGTCGGTGAGAGCTGTGGAGAGGTGATGAGAAATTCCTCTCGGTGAAGAGCTCTGGGGGGAAACATCAACTCACAGAAGCTCAGGCAAAGTGCTTTTTTCTTCCTCTTATTTTCCATCAGAGTAGCAACACAAGTGGTGACACCTGAGGATGGACAAGGGTGGTTCAGTGAGCATGTGAGGAATTAGTCACATGTTGTGCTGAGCACATATTTTGGTCAGAGCAGCTCAGCGCTTGAGGAACTCTGACCTGTGTGACCGAGGGCTTGGTTACTGTTTGCCCTCTCCAGAAAACACCAGGACAGGATGTTTCTGAGGAATTTCCATAAAGAGCCTTTCTAAAATCACTTACTTCAAAAAGAGGCCCTTGGTGCAAGCAGAGATTGGCTTCTGTTCTGAAGTTTGAGGTTTATGAAAATTGGTTTTCTCTTTGATTTTCCAGGAGTAAATAATTACAGGTTTGACATCCGCAAGCTTTTAGGTATGATGAGTCACACCTCCAGCTATGAGATGGTTCATAAAATTCTCACTAGCATCAAAATAATAAACGCTGGGTTATTTTTGCTTTCTTCCTGGATTTGTACCCTTTAGGGTTCCAGGGTTTGGGTTTTCTCCTTTGGCTGTCTAAAGTGAGCTCCTTATTGCGAAGCCTGTGCACAGCAAATTCCAGGAATGAGGCCATCCAGAGGAGCTGGACAACTCTCAAGAATTGCAACAAAATCCCGACAACGAGCAAAGGAGGTCTGGCATGAAATCCTACCCGGTGCCCGTGTGCCAGCGCAGGAGGTGCCCCAATGTATGGAGTGCTGTGTTCTCAGCAGGGCTGTATCTCCTGTTTGATCTCCAGGAGCACCAGAGAGCCCTTCCCGGCTGACAAGAGCCAGGCCAGGCCAGCTGTGCCACGGACCCTCCCACTTCCCGCTGCCGATCCTGCTCGAGGCTCAGGGCTGCTGGCCCAGCTCTCCCTGTTTACATGTTTCCAAATTCAAGGAGGAAAAGCGAATATCAAACAGGCCTGGCCCTTTTGAAGTGGCTAAAGGATGCTATCGGGTCCAGGGGTGTGCTGTGCCTTTGAGGCTTGTTTGTCTTTGCCTGGTCCCTCTGTGCAGGCCTTTAAGGAGCCATTCCACCCTTCAAAGCCATCCCAATCCCAACAGAGCAGCCCTGGCACCAAAGCCAGGGCTGGGTGTCCTGTGTCGAAACACTTTGCTGGGAGGTTTTCAGACGTGGAAGTTTCTTTATTCTTTTGCAATAAATAATTGGACTGAAATTAGTTACTGTCCAACAGGAAGAAAATAAGGGATTTGGTTTGGTTTTTAAGGAGGAGGTTTTGTCCCTCAGCACTGAGCTTCCTTTTTAATGTCATCTGGAACGGTTTGGAGCCCTTTTCTCATACTCACACACGCGTAAGTGATGGTCTTACAATGCACCCTACTCCTTTTCTCAGCTTTAGCTCTTTAACCAGGAGCTCGCTGTGGCTTTTGGCTGGATCCTCGAATCATTGTGTGCTCCCGCTCTCTCCTGGTCAGAGGCTGGAATTGCTACTTGAGCACATAAGTCGTGTTGGAAGGAGAAACTCAAAGCACTTGGGATTTCTTGTGGCTTATTTTAGGACTGTCACACTTTGCCAAATCTTTTATAAGATTATAAAAAATATTTTATAAGGGGAAGAAGTGCTTTTGCTAATTAGAAAGCAGTGAGGAAAATAAAACTTTGAAACTCCAAATTCTTAAAGTAAGTGACAGTTTTGAATATCAATATTAGAAAAACAACAATGAAAAAAATTAAAATTCATTACTAAGAGCTTTTTTAAATCCAGGATCCGATTCTTTTTATAGGTTTGAGCCTTCTTATAGGTTTTCCAAGAACTAGAATAAAAGCAGCTCAGACATAGAATCACAGAATAATTTAGGTTGGAAAAGGCCCTCTAAATCATTGAGTCCAGCACTACCAAGGCCACCACTAACCCATGTCCCCAGGTGCCACATCTACATGTCTTTTAAATCCCTCCAGAGATGGGGACTTCTCTGGGAGCCTCTTCTCCTGCATCTGACACAAAGAGTCTGAAAATCAAAACAAGCAACAATGTCTCTTGAGAGGAGAAAAAAAACCAAAACAAAGTTTTTAAGTTTCATTTTCATCTTTTGTTTATTGCTATAAAAATACAAAAAGTATCAATTCTGTTTCTGTGAATAATTTTAGATATTTTTATTTTCTAGGCAGCTCCTTAACAACTATTTTTGTTTGTAGGTCAATTAGTTGTGCCCTGAATGGAAAGTAGCAGGAATTTTGCACTTTTATAGCGTTGTAGTCAGTGAGTCCAGGTTACCATGAGAGGCAGCAGGGTTGAAGTTTTAGAAAGAGATGGATTGTTTAGTACCTGGGCTTTACTCTTACTGTGAGCAGCCTTTTGGCTCCTACAAGATCTTCTTTGATTGCCAGATGCCCTGGAGACCCCTGAAAAGTTCAGGGTACAGCAACAGGGGGAAAACTTCTTTTGTCCTCTGCTAAAATCATTTCCACATCCCTTTTCTTGCCTAGTAAGGGTTTCCTCTGTTGTTAAAAATCTCTGTTGGTACCACTGGGATGATTTTCATGTAGGAACAACCTCACAAAGGTTTGGGCACCTGGTGATTGCACAGAGTGTCTCTAACAGACAAGATTCAGACATCAAAATGGTCAGCAATGTGAACGAGGTGGTTATGTTCTGGTATGGTTTGTTCTTACACTTTGCTGTGTGATGTTTAGGAAGAGAGGTTGGAAGCAGCCAGAGATGTTCTGGCCAATCTTCCCCAGATGATACAGAGTATATTGAATCCTGCAAAAAAACATCTCCCCCACATTGTGAGATTTCGTACTTGATTAGTTATAAAGAATGGGCAGAGATTAGACACTAATCTTTGATTGGATGCCTTTTAAGGGGGCAAAAATGTTGTGTGATTTTTTTTTCCCTTGAAAGTATTGTCTTATACCAAAATATTCTCCTTCCTTATCTACTGTAATTTGTTTTAAAATTGTTATCCTGGTCTTAGGGACATGGTGATAATTTCCATGACAACACAGAAAGATTCCAGAAACAGAGATTTCTGACTAAATATATGAAGGTTGCTGAAAAGCACAACTGCAAGAATTCTGCCTACTCACTGGGAATAACAGACAGAAGAGTTAAGGTATGTGATCTCATCTTTGGAAACCAAAATGTTCTTTACATTGTGTTGATTTACTTCATGTGGGATGTTTTTAAAATTGGGTGAACAAGCATTTCTCCGAACTATAGCAATTTGCCCTTGATGTGCTGATGCCCAAAGCCTTGCTGGGTGTCAGGTCTTAAACTGTCCTGATTCCACATGTAAATTCACAGAACAAACCCCCACAGAACCCAGGCTTTGTGACCAGGTGGCTGCAAAGAACTGAAACCCTTCTAACCCCCCATTTGAGCCAAGTGTAAAGCTGTGCTTGGATCCCACCTGCAGTTTAAACCTCACATTTGGGAACGTCTCAAAGCAGAGTCATGCCCCTGAGCTGCCACTGCCCGTGCTGGCTGAGGTACCTCTGCTGGAGCACCCAGCTCTCTTAGTGTCACATGGGTTTTCCCCTGCATTTATAGGGGCTTTCTGGAATTCCAGCCACCACTCCCTGTGACAGGAACACCTCCACTGTGCTCCAGGTGTTCTGGGACAGGATCCTTCAGCAGGTACCAGTTTACAAAGACAATAAGTCCCTGTGCCTTTCCCAGGGGTAGCACCAGGGCCAATGACATGCAGCTCCACGCTGGGGAAGGAGTTACTTTGGAATAGTTTATGGATTTAGAAAAGCCCTCACTGGAAGTGATGTTCATTATCACAGGGTCCTGCACCCACACCTGGCAGTGACTAACAGTTCCTAATTTATGCTAATAGCTTCCCCAGTCAGATGGGGATGGTTGGTCCTTCACACTGCCCTGCTCTTTTGTTGTGGTTCCCCTCCAGAGATCACCAAACAATGCAATTTAACCTGGGGGTTGTTCCTGGGAGAGAGCTGCCCACTCCTATCTTTCTACTGCCTCCATAAACGCTCCCTTTGCATGGCAAATAATGCAAATCAGGGCTGAATTTTTGCCTTCCCTAATTGCAAAGCTGGTTACTCCTCTGTGTAAACAAGCTGATGGTGTTTTGTTTGCTGACAGAAAAAAAAAGAATTGGGCCAGTTTATATTTGGCAATGCTTGGGGTTTTGTGGGTGGCTCATGGGCTAAGCCTGATGGAGACATTTGGTTTCTATTGAATGTTGGAAAATAACAAGATTTTGGAGAAAAAATCCTGAATCTTCTTGGTGTGAAGTGTTTGGCTGGGCTCTGATCCCCTGATTTTTCTGCTGTTACATTAATAAAACCTGAAGTAGCAAATGAAAACAGATTAATTGCATACTGTCATCCAGCAGCTTTGGTTCTGTTTTCCAAAATTTTCTGTAGCTACTCACATCTCTAAAAGACTGTAAAGTGCCACAGTGCTCTATTGGTGGAATTCCATATATCTCACCTTTCCTTCTAGAGGTAGAAATAATTCCAAAGGTGGAGGAAAAGGGACTTTTGCATTTATGTTTTTCTGTGTCAAGTCTTGCATCCTGAGGAAGTCCAGAAACTGTGTATCCTTGGATATGGCAGCATCCAGAGACACCACTCCTGTGTCTCCAGCACAGCACAAGATAATGCTCGGGTTTGGGGCTTGGGGGAAAAAACAGCTGGAAAGGGTTGGAGGCATGTGCTGCACTAGGGGAAGTCCTGGATTCTCCTGAATCAGTTCCCAGCCTTTCCTTGTTTATCCTGGTGTGTCTCAGGTTGCTCTGTTCCCTCTAATCAGACTTTCCACAGAGTTCCTTTGGAGGTGTCTGTCACATTCCAGGGAATTGTTCAGTCAGAGACACTCATTTTCCCTGCAGCCTCTGTGTGTGTGACAATGCTGGTACCACCTGTAAAGTCCTGGGATTCCCATATCCTGGTTATCCCAGACGTGCACAGGGATGGGAACTGGGCGTCCTCCCTACTTGAGTGCTTCAGGAACTGATCCAAAGAGAAACCTCTGGATGGACAACTGTTAAAGAGAACGTGACTCGGGGAAAAAGGTAATCCATCTTTTCTTACAACAGACTTGCAAATTGGATCAGCCTCCCGGATTTGCAGTGATCCAAAGGACATTGGCTTAGCCTCATGACTCCTTTTCATTCCATAATAGCCTGTGGGATTTAGTGATAAGAAACTGTCACTAAAGACTTGTCATCCTGAGCCAAAAATCTGTTCACAAGAAGTGACTCCTGCCAAAGACTTGGTTCTCTAAAGCCTCGGACTTTGGTCTCCAAGTGTTGTGGAATGTCATGGGCTCCAAATGCAGGAGGAAAACCATATTTGCAAGCAGAGTTTTCACTTGGTTCTATCAGTGGGGACACTGAGTAGTATAAATGAAGGAATTCAAGAACAGACTGTATTTAGCTCTAATTAAAGGCCAGTCTCAAAATTTGCCAGATTAAGTAAATAGTGTATTAGCTCTGTCTGTCACAGCCACGGACAGAGCAGTCCATTTGGAAGCTGAGTGATTTCCTGGAGGCACATAAAAAGTGTTTTACATGGTATTTTGCCACACAGAGTTTGGGATGAGCAAAGTGCTACTTATGCCCTGATTTAGGTGCCTGTTGCTCTTGTGCAGTTTGGGGTGGTTCTCTGCAGTGGCAGAGATTGCCCCTCGGGGGCTGCAGTTACACAGCTCCCAGAAACACTGGGCTGAGAGCAAGGGAAAACTTTGGGAGCGGTTCGAGGAAGTTACACCCCCAGCTGACTTTGCCCCTGGTGTCTCCAACCAAGAGACTCTGAAATACGGGGTGATTTGATAGAAAAAAACCCAGAAATATGATGCAGTTGTACCCCTGGCACTGCTACTGTGGCAACTCATTGGTGCAGCCTTGGCTGAGGGGTTTCGTGCCACTGAAAGAGCCCCTGGGGGCTTTGGTGCCCAGCCTTGGACCATCCACTGTTAGGGGTGTTATTTGTCCCACTTGTGTTAATCAAAGAGATAAAGGTAAGCCTTAAAATATGTGGGCTAATCTGATCATATCAAACCTATTTCAGATGAAAATCTAATTAAAAATATGTAATCTCTTCATTAAAGGAACTAACAAGGCCTTTCATTATGCCTTCACAGTAGAAGTTCAGGCTGATGCAAGAAAACCTCTAGTAACATGAAGGGAGAGTTCATCGGTCCACACAAGATATTTGTCAGGCATTTGCCACACCAAAGATTTGTCCAGACTCTCCTTATAGGATCTTTTAGACAAGATTTTTCTATCTATTGTATAAGGTTAATATATATGGTATCTCCATATTAGGGAAAAATAGGCTCTCCTCTGAGGCACAATTCATCTCACCCTGGCAGAGATGTATCCAGATGTCCAGGATAAGACAAAGTGTGCCCTTCAAGTGCTCATTTCTCCTAGTTGTAGAGAGAAGTTGGAAAACTAGCCTTCAGCCATATTTCTGTGTGCTCTGCAGACAGAGCTCCTGACACTAATTTGGGCTGTGCACCCCTCAGGAGTGCCAGCAGACAATCCAACTCTTTACCTGTTAACAAGTATAGAACATTCTCCCTGTGGTTGTCTTTAATGCAGATGAATAATTTCAACCAAGTGGTACAGCCTTAGACATAACTCAGGGAATTTTCATGACTTATGCATGGCTGTAGTGTCACCCAGGAAAAGACAGAAGAGACAATTAAAAATTCGGGACAAATCCAAGGAATTCAGTAAGAAAACCCCCAGTGGGATTCCTGAGTCTAATTGCTTTGCTGTATTTTCCCTGTAATTTATGGCACTCTGTCCAAGCATTAACCATTCTGGCAGTGTTCCAGCAGGCTGACAGGCTACATGTTAAAACCTAGCCAGCCTTCCAAAGAGATGAAGTTTCTCCCTCCCCATTCCTCCCTTCTTTTCCCTGTTGTATCTTCAAAAGGAGAAGGCCCAGTGGTAACTCCAAGCTGAGGATTGAGGCTTTTCACAGCCTGGTCACATCTCTGCTCCATGAAGTGCTCAGTCCTCCAGAGATTTGGTCAAAGTCTTCATTTTAAAGTGAGGAAACAAGGTTTTTTTTTGAGGGAAATGTATTCTCCCTGGCTCTGGAACTTGCCAGTGCCAGGTTCTAAGCCAAGACTTCTATCAAACACGGCTGGTGCCCCTTGCTGTCTGCATTAGCACTGTTCTGTGGGAATGGTGGTGCTTCATTTCCCCAGCTCAGGATGATCTCCTACATGTTACAACAGACAACTGCAGATACAGAGGGTCACCTCCAAGGCCTTCAGAGAGTAGATCATGAGGTGTGATGTGCCAAGGGCTGCAGATGGAGGGTAAGTCCTGCCCTGTTCAGCTGGAGCAGAGGAAACTGAGGGGAGACCTCAGTGCAGTTCCAACTGCCTGGGCAGGGGCAGAGGAGGGGCAGGGACTGAGCTCTGCTCTGGGGGGACCAGGGACAGCACCCAGGGAATGGCTGGAGCTGTGCCAGGGCAGGGTCAGGTTGGATCTCAGGGAAAGGTTCTTCCCCCAGAGGCTGGTTGGGCACTGCCCAGGCTCCCCAGGGCAGTGGGCACAGCCCCAAGGCTGCCAGAGCTCCAGGAGGGTTTGGCTGATCCTCTGGGGCACAGGGGGTGACTCTTGGGGATGAGCCTGTGCAGGGCTGAGGGTCGGACTTGATGATCTTTGTGGGTCCCTTCCAGCTCAGCACATTTTGGGATTCTGTGATAACAGAACCATTAGTGTGGAAATACAGGAGTGGTCCATGGAAGATCTATCCATGCACACTTCCCTGACCTGACCAAGGGCAGTGTGAGCTCCCAGTGCCCACACACACCAGGCACACACTGACAGGCTCCTACACGGATAGTTCAGTCAGATCAGGAGAGAAAAATGATAAATGAGTGGTTTAAAAATGTGGCTAAACAGAGCTCCTCTTTCTGCACCAGGATGTACAAAACCACTATGGGGAGTCTTGCTGATGGAGAGCTGGGATACACAATAAATCTCTAGAATCTGGAAGCAAGTAGGCTCACAGTTTGTAAGCAGAAACATCTTTGGTTACCAGTAGGTGTCATTACAGGTTTGTGGACACTGGGCCCAGCACTTGTGACATGGTCACAGCCATGGCCAGGCTTCTTGGAACTCCACCTGCTCCTGTGGAGAGAGACCAGCTCCTCATTCCCACACTCCTGGGAGTTCAGAGCCCTTTCTTCAGTAATTCCTGCTCAGTGTTTTTCCTTAGCTCACACGTTCTCTTCAGCACTGCAATGGGTGTGTAGGAAGTAGCTGTGTTTCTTCTGGGCACACTTTCCACAAGCCCAAAGAGGGCACCTTTAGAAGGCCTGGGTCTACAGTGGAAATGCCATTTTGCCAACGTTTCCAAGTCCACCAAGCAAATCTCAGATTTCAAAGATGTCCAGATGTATTTGACTGAGACTTGAATTAGAAAAATGACCTTTTTACTGTTGCCACATTGTTCTTTGGGTGGTTCGGTTCTCTGCCTCCATTCCCAGGAGAGTGCAGGATGTTTGTGTCAGCACCACAGAGACAAACAAGCAGCTCGTGGGGCAGGAACAAGAGCATGGAGGTTGCAGTGGGGGCACGGGGACTGTGTGTGTAACCCTACCCAAACATCCACCCCCCAAGCTCACATTTCCATGTGCAGCCTGCTCTGCCATGCGGATAGAAACCCACACTTGTATGGATCTTTGGTGGTCAGAGGTACAAACACACAGTCCGAGCTCCAGCCTCCCCTGGTGAGACAGGTTTCCTGCCCTCAGTGACTCCTCTATAGCACCTCTGTGGGTGGCTGGGGCTGTGGGAGGGCTCAGAGAAGGGCTCAGGCAGCCTGGAAGTGCCTTTGCTGGAATTCCTTTGCCCAACACATCCTCAGGTCACATTCCCTGTTCCACAGCTGCAGCCCACTGAGATCCACACTGCTTCTGGAACTCACCTTGGCCTTTCTCTTCCTCTGCTGCTTCTGACTGATTAGAGAAGAAATCCTTGTTCTCAGTCCCAAGGCACTTGTTCCTGCATCCTATTCCCATGGTCCAATTCCCCACAGGAATGCCATTCTACCTGAGGCCACTCTGATCCTCCTGGATGTTAATGGTGCCTCCCAGCTCCACAGCATCAGCAACTTTGACTCCCTGTTCTGACAGCTGGTGCCAGGGTCGTTCCCAGAAATATTTTACAAGGTTGGTTGCAGGTCTGATTCTTCAGAAATGCGATTAAATGGCCCATTCCAGCCCAATCCTGCTCGGTCCTTTATGCTACCATTTATTTTTAAAAAGAGTGTTCTATCTACAGCAAAATTCTTATACCAAGCCTTGTCTTCTGTGTTTTAACTACTGATGCCCCAGCTGATATTCTGCCAAATCCTACCCTGCTGTCCACATAGCCCAGAGCAATGACATGTCCATGGACATCTGGTGAACTGAATCCTCTCTCCTTAAATCCCCAGGTGCATATTGGGATGCCTGAGTAGGGGTAGCTAAAGCACATGGTTTGGGACCTCAGGAGTGGAATATGTTGGCCCTGAAGTCTGGAATAAAGAACACCCCTCCCACAGCCCTGCTGCCACTCACAAGTGGCACAACACTGCCCTGAGTTTTCAGTGCCACAGAACTGCCTCCATGAGTGTGTGGAGAGGATGTTAAAGCAATGAGGCACAAGTGGAGAATCGAGAATAATAATTTATTGTAGAATATATTAACCAGATTCCCAATGCCCAGGTTTGTGGGCTGTAGAGAGCTGTCAGCCATAACCACATGACTGCCATGCACCTGCCCAGCATGTTCAGGGGGAATTTTGGAAAGGACAATGTGGTTCTGCAGGGCAACTGCAGGTCTTTTCTCCTGGCCTTGTAAGCCCCCAGTGATCTGGGAACCACAGCTCTAGCTCTAGACAGTGTTCAAACTCCTTTGTTCCATTCTTAGAACCGAGATTAAAGTATCTTCCTTAAAAGAGGCTAGAATTTCAAGGCAAAAATTTATTCAACAAGCTGATCCACTGAAATCAAATGAAAAATCTGATGCATACAGAAGTACTGGTAGTAGGAGAACAGGTTT